TGTGTCAGTGTATCACATTTTCTTTATCCATTTTTTGGTTTGAGGCATCAAGATTATTTCCAGATTCTGGCTATTACAAGTAATGATGCTATGAACATAGTTGAGCACCTGTCCATGTGGGATGATTGAACTTCTTTTGGGTAAAAATCAAAACAACTCTCCATCTTACACCTGTCAGAATGGCCAAAATCAAAAACACTGATGAAAGCTTATGCTGGAGAGGATGTTGTGTAAACGGGAACACTCTTCCATTCATTGCTCGTAGGAGTGCATGCTTCTACAGTCACTTTAGGAATCAGTGTGGCAATTTCTAGGAAATTAGGAAACAACCTTCCTCAATGCCCAGCAATACTACTATTGAGGTCCCATTTATTAATTGTTAATCTCAGTGTCTGTAGTATTAGTGTTCTGTTTAGAAAGTCTTCTCCTGTGCCAAGTTCAAAGCTGTTCCCCACTTTCTCTTCTGTCAGGTTGAGTGTATGTAGTTTTATACTGAGGACTTTGATCCACTTGGAGTTCAGTTTTGTTCACAGTGATAAGTATATATCTACTTGCATTCTTCTACATGCATATCCAGTTACACCAGCACCATGTATTGAGGATGCTAAAATTTTTCAATTGTGTAGTTCTTTCTTTTTTTTAATCAAAAATCAGGTGTCCATAGGTATGTAGATTTTTGTCTGTGTCTGCATTTTGATTCCCTTGATCAATGTGTTTTTTATGGCACTACTATGCAGTTTTAATTACTATGGCTCTCTAATATATATTATATATATATATATGTATATGTATATTGAAATACAAAATGGTAAAACTTCCAGCAATTCTTTTATTATTTAGGGTTGTTTTAGGTATACTGGATTTTCTTTTGAATTGTCTTTTCAAAGTCTACAAAGATCTTGTTTTGGAATGTTGAATGGAATTGCATTGAATGTGTAGATTGTTTTTGATAGGCTGGCCATTTTTACTATGTTAATCCTACCTATTCATGAGCATGGGATATCTTTCAATCTTCTGATGCCTCCTCAATTTCTTTCTTCAAAGACTTGAAGTTCTTATCATACAGATATTTTGCTTGCTTAGTTAGAGTTACAGTAAGATATTTTATATTATTTAAGTTTATTGTAAAGGGTTTGATTCCCTTATTTATCACTCAGCCCATTGTATATGGAGTGCTACTGATTTTTTGAGTTACTCTTCTATCTATATAATTTGCTGACGGTATCCATCAGCTATAGTAGTTCTCTGGTAGAACTTTTAAGGTTGCAAATATATACTATTATATCATCTGTAAATAATGATAGTTGGACTTCTGTTTTTCCAGTTTGTATCCCCGTGATCGCATTCAGTTGTCATTTTGATCTAGATAATAATTTAAGTACTACATTGAATCGGTATTGAGAACATAGACAGCCTTGTCCTGCTAACAATTTTTGTGGAATTGCTTTGAACTTTTCTTTATTTAATTTAATGTTTACTACAAATTTGTTGCAAGCTACCTTTATTGTGATGAAAGGTATGTCCTTTGTATCTCTAATCTCTCCACAACTTTTTTCATGAAGTAGTAGTGGATTTGTCAAAATCCTTTTCTGCATCTAATAAGATGAGTATGTGCTTTTGTCATTCAATTTGTTTGTATGGTAGATTACATTTATTGATTTTTTTTGATACATGTCCCTACAACTCTGGGATAAAGCCTATTTGATCACAGTAGTTGATCTTTTTGCTGTAGTCTCAGATTTGGTTTGCAAGTATTTTATTGAATATTTTTGCATCTACCTTTAGAAGGAAAAATTCTGTAATTCTTTCTTTCTTGGGTCTTTATGTAGTTTGTGTATGAGTGTAATTGTGGCCTCATAAAATGAATTGGACAATGTTCCTTCTGTTTCTATTTTGCGGAAAAACATGAAAAGTATTGGCATTAACTCTTTTTTGAAAGTCTAGTAGAATTCTGCCATGAAACCATCTAGCACTAGGTTTTTATTTAGTTGAAAGATTTTTGATGATTACTTCTATTTCACTATAAGTTATCAGTCTACTAAAATTGCTCATCTGCCCTTGATTTAATTTTGGTAGGTGGCACTAATTATTGAGAAAATTAGCTATTTCTTTTAGATTTTCCAGTTTTACAGAATACAGGTTTTTTTTTGTTTTGCTTTGTTTTGATTTTAGCTGTGTAATGATGTGATCTGTTTATTTCAATGGTTTTCCAATTTGCCTAATGGTATAGAAGGCTTTCTGTTACTTTCATCTCAAATACTCTACATATTTTTGTATTTTATTTTAACTATGTATGCTATTTTGACAATAGTACAAGAATTCTATATTGACCAAAGAGTAATACAGATTTCAATTAGACCTTTGGTAGCTATGGTGTCATTGCTTGATTCTTGTAATTTTGGTGGTGGTGGTTGTTCCTTCAGGCCCTCTCCAAACTACTGTAAGATTTAGGTAACACACTCTTCCATTCAAGACTTCTTTGTTGTCTTCAAAAGAGAAGCACAAATGTATTTTTGTCTGAATAGTCTATGAGAGTATTCTTCATTGTTTTCATATACTCTCATTTGTCTCTGTTCTTTGAAGGACAAAGCCTATTCTTCCTCTGGAATCCTTGATGGCCTCAAGCCCCAGCTATTCCTCTTACCTCGGCCTCAAGTGCTCTTCTAGGTGTGAGTCCTCACAAATGGCTTACTTTCACCTGCATTTTTCTTTCTTTTTAGTTTTTTGTTTTCTTTCATTTGCTTTTATCTCATCTGCATTTGCTATTTCTTTACCTATAAAGCATAACTTTACACACTCAAATAGGTATGACTTCATTAAAAAATAAGCATGAACACAACTATTCTTAATCTAATGCATCTGGATTGATAGATAAGACTGCGGTCCTTAAATTTTCATTTATTCCTACTTTTAAAAGTTAACCATAAAGTCACACCTGATTAAAAAAAAAGTATCAACATAACAAAGTATACATTTCAAAGACAAAAATGCAATGATCAAGATAATCTACTGCATAATTTATCAAAGTCAGCAAAAGACAATACGAAAACAACCATCTTCAAATATATCATTAACAATACTCTCCTAAATAATACTATTGAAGAACATGGATTTTTCAGATATTAGTACATCAGTGCCAAGAAAAAATAGAGAGATGTTGAGGACAGGATGGAAAAATAAGAAAAGTTTTATCTTCCCAGATAAAATTACATGGGTATCAGAAATTCAAGATTGAACTTGTAAAACAGAATTTTAAACATAACAGTTTGTTGGCTCTGGGATAAACTGCAGTCACAGAGTGCTGGGTTTAGTCCGCAGTACCACTTCAGGGAGGGTGATGTCTATTTCCTTTTTTGGATGGAAACAGAATAGGGCATTTCTTAATAATAGTTTGCTAATTAAGTTAAGAAAAATTGCACATGCCTATTCTGCCAAGAACCAAATGAACTCTTTCCATAACACTGTCCCTGACATTACTAAATAGTATCATTTATTTGGGTCACTTTTGTGTTTAAACTATTTTAACGTACTCCTGTACACACAGTTGTTGGAGCTCAGGTTTTAAAACTATTTCAATCATCATGATTGTGTTTCCTTAGGCAAATCGGAGAGGCTGCTCTGGCTGTGATGTGGTGAGAATATGGGAGACCCTTGAGATCTTCCCTTTAACAGCACATAGTCTGGGGGATACTAAGCTTAGTGTAGGTCCCAGAGATTCCACTGATTCTGAGCCAAAGTTTATCACAAAGGCAGCTACATAAAACTTCCTTGACTGTTTACACCAGAAAGGTTCAAAACAGATGAGACGAGCATGTCCTATCTTGTCAAAGACAAATATCCACATAACTAAAAGTCCCATAAAGTGCCTCAGTGAACCACATCATTCTCCCTGCTACTGGAGGTACCTAATGTTTACAGATAGATACTGTTTGAGTTGGCTTTATCATGGAATATCTTTTCTCCATCTTTGGTGATTGAACGTTGTGCTGGGTGCAGTGATCTGAGTCGAGATCTGTGCTCTCTTAGAGTCTACAGCGCATCTGTCCATGTCCTTCTGGCTTTTAAAGTCTCCATTGTGAAGTCAAGTGTAATTGTACTTAAGCTGCCATTCATGTTATTTGGTCTTTTCCTTTGCAGCTTTTCATATTCTGGTTTTGTTCGGCTTTGGCTATTATGTGATGAAGTGATTTTCTTACTTTTATTGCTTTATAAATAATACCATTCAAAATTTCCACATCCTCCCCTCCTCCCATTTCCTTCCCACTCCTCTCACTCCCCCTCCCCCTCCCTCTCGAGTCCTAAGAGAAGGCAGGGTGCCCTGCCCTGTGGGAAGTCCAAGGCCCTCTCCTCTCCATTCAGGCCTAGGAAGGTGCGCATCCAAACAGAGTAGAATCCCAAAAAGCCAGTACATGCAGTAGAATCAAATCCCAGTGGGATTATCATTGGCTTCTCAGTCAGACCCCCTTGTCAGCCACAGAGAGTCTGGTGTGATCACATGCTCGTTCAATCCCAGTCCAGCTGGCTTTGGTGAGCTCCCATTAGATCAGTCCCACCGTCTCAGTAGGTAGGCGCGCCCCTCGCGGTCCTGACTTCTTTGATCATCTTCTCCCTCCTTTTGCTCTTCATCTGGACCTTGGGAGCTCAGTCTAGTGCTCCAGTGTGGGTCTCTGTCTCTCTCTCCATCCATCGCCAGATGAAGGTTCTATGGTGATATACAAGCTATTTATCAGTGTGGCTATGGGACAAGGCCAGTTCAGGTACCCTTTCCTCTACTGCCCAAAGACCTAGCTGGGGACATACCCTTTTCTTTTTTGTTCCTGTCTATTTAGTGTTCCATATGCTTTTTGTATCTTTACAGGCATCTACTTTATGTTAGGAAAAATTTCCTTCTATGATATTGGAGAAAACATTCGGGGCAACCGGGTAGCGCTCACGTCTCTCCTGATGGCTCTTTCGGGTGTGTGCAGGAACCTCTGGGCTTTTCCTCTATGGCACGCCGGCTGTCAGAAACTCGCCATGTCTATTCTCAAGGTCCATGCCCGAGAGATCTTTGACTTCCCTGGGAATCCCACTGTTGTGGTTGATCTCTACACCTCAAAAGGTCTCTTCCGAGCTGCTGTGCCCAGTGGTGCCTCCACTGGCATCTATGAGGCACTGAAACTCCGTGATAATAAGACCCGCTACATGGGGAAGGGTGTCTCAAAGGCTGTTGAGCACATCAATAAAACTATCGAACCTGCTCTGGTTAGCAAGAAACTGAATGTGGTGGAGCAGGAGAAGATCGACAAGCTGATGATTGAGATGGACGGCACTGAGAATAAATCCAAGTTCGGCGCCAATGCCATCCTGGGAGTGTCCCTAGCTGTCTGCAAAGCTGGTGCTGCAGAAAAGGGGGTGCCCCTCTACCGCCACATCGCTGACTTGGCTGGCAACCTTGATGTCATCCTGCCAGTCTCAGCTTTCAATGTGATCAACGGCGGGTCTCACGCTGGCAACAAGCTGGCCATGTAGGAGTTCATGATCCTCCCTGTGGGGGCCTCCAGTTTCTGCGAAGCCATAAGCATTGGGGCAGAGGTTTATCACAACCTGAAGAATGTCATCAAGAAGTATGGGAAGGATGCCACCAATGTGGGTGACGGGGGCGATTTGCACCTAACATCCTGGAGAACAAAGAAGCTCTGGAGCTGCTGAAGAACACAATTGGAAAGGTTGGCTACACTGACCAGGTTGTCATCTGCATGGAGGTGACCGCCTCTGAGTTCTTCAGGTCCGGAAAGTATGACCTGGACTTCAAGTCTCCTGATGACGCCAGCAAGTACATCACCCCCGACCAGCTCGCTGACCTGTATAAGTCCTTCATCCGAGAGTATCTAGTGGTGTCCATCGAGGACCCCTTTGACCGGGATGACTAGGAAGCCTGGCGGAAGTTCACAGCTAGTGCAGGCATCCAGGTGGTTGATCTCACAGTGACCAACCTTAAGAGGATCGCCAAGGCTGTCGGTGAGAAGTCCTGCAACTGTCTCATGCTCAAAGTGAACCAGATTGGGTCCGTGATCGAGTCTCTGCAGGCGTATAAGCTGGCCCAGTTCAATGTTGGGGCGTCATGGTGTTCCATCGCTCTGGGGAGACTGAGGATACTTTCATCGCTGACCTGGTGGTGGGGCTCTGCACTGAGCAGATCAAGACTGGTGCCCCTTGCCGATCCGAGCGCCTGGCCAAGTACAACCAGATTCTTAGAATAGAGGAAGAGCTGGGCAGCAAGGCCAAGTTTGCCGGCAGGTCCTTCAGGAACCCCCTGGCCAAGTAAAGTGGATGGAGATTCCCATAGCCACCAGCTGCTTAGATGTCATCAAGGCAGCGCAAGGCTGGCCCAGTGCTTGCCCCTCCCATGCCACTGCTTCCTTAGACACTTCAGTCAGCCTGACCACCTGGAGCCCTGCTGGAAATCCCCGCTTTGTAATCATGTGACTGGTCCGAATCATTGTCACCTCACTTCCAAGCTAGTATCTGGAGCCCAGCGTAATCTCTAGGGTGGCCACAGGAAAGACCCCCTGCCCCAGAAGTTCTCCATGCAGAATAAAAGCCTCAGTGACCCATTAAAAAAGAAAAAAGAAAGAAAGAAAGAATGAGAGAAAGAAAGAAAGAATGAGAGAAAGAAAGAAAGAAAGAAAGAAAGAAAGAAAGAAAGAAAAAAAGAAAGAAAGAAAGAAAGAAAACATTCTGTGCCTTTGAGCTGGGTTCTTCTCTTTCCTTTGTTCCTTTCATTCCTAGGTTTAGTCTTTTCACACTGTATCAAATTTCCTGTATGTTTTATATCTGGAGATTTTTGGATTTAACCTTTTCTTTGACCAATGTATCTCTTTCTTCTATCATATCTTCTATCTTTGGTGCCTAAGATGGTCTCTAACAACTCATGTATTCTGTTCATGGAGGTTTCCTCTGTAGCTCCTGTTTGAATTCCTGAGTCTTTCATTTCCAGAATTCCCTCGGTTAGGGTTTTCTTTGTTGTTTCTGTTTCCATTATCATGTCCTGAAGGATTTTATTTATTTCCTTTCACAGCTGGTGTTGTCCTACATCATTAAAAGGGATTTATTAATCTTTAAGGAACTTTATCATCCTCATACATGCAGTTTTGAGGTGTTTTTCTTGTGTTTCAGCTATGTTGAAATATTCAGGGTCTGCCATGGTAGAACAGCTTGGCTCTAGTGGGTACATATTGTCTTGGCTGTTATTGATTGTGTTTTTGTGATGGCCTCTGGACAGCTAGGGTCGTGCTGATTGTAGGCCTAAGCACTGACTTCTGGCTTTGTCTTCATTGGATGTCTCTTTTCTTTCTTGGTTTCTGTATCTTCTATGAATTTTCAGAGAGTGTGGTGCGTGTTTGTTACCTGGCCAGAAATGTTCTTTGGACCTCCTATTTGTGGCCTCTGGCAGTTCTAGGTTAAATGTGGCTGTGCATTGAGAGCTTCCACTCAGGGCTTAAGGCAAGGGTTTGAAGGGGTGTGCAGGAGGGAGGAAAGCAGAGTACTGAACAAGTATCTGCTTATTTTTTCTCCTTGGGATGGGGGAGGTAGTGAAGAAAAGTCACCCCTGAGGGTCTGCTATTAAAGTTTTAGTAAGTATGTTCTATTACTATTAACTGTTAAAGTGTTCCTATCACTATTAATTTATTTAATATTTGAATTAATTCTAAGGCCAGTAAAATTACTACTTCTCTTTTATTTTAGGTGACAGAGACTAAAATACATACCTTAGTTGAAGTGCAATTAAGAAATGGAACTGAGACTCATATTTTACACTTCTTTTGCCAAAACCAATAATTCAATAATTGGTTTTCCACATAGACAGCTGTATGATTGTAAAAAGAACTCGGAAGGTCAGTCCTGGATTCTGGCACAGCCCGGGACATTTGTCAGTGTCTCTATTTTTAACTACACAGCAAATTAATTCTGTTTAAAAGAAATGTTTGATCTTTAAACATTAAACTTCTCTAGATATGAAAAGCAGTTCTCTGTACTACTTTGAATTACTCAGTAAGTTCATTTGTTAAGTACACTGCAGAAATCTGGTTGGCATTAAGGAAACAGTTCATAATTGAAATGCTGACTTCAATTATGACTGACTTAGAAAAAATTTTCAATGCTCAGTAAGATCCATACATAGGTTTGCTTGTGGAAATCACCTAAAGAAACTGTGAAGTAGCTTGATTGGGCGAATACGTAGAAATATTTGAATCCACTAAAGCAAATGCAAAAACAGTCAGACCTTGGAGAAATGACCCTTGAGAAGAAGTTGTATATTTGCTCACCTACATATATAAATTTTCTTTTAGGATGACAGCGGTTCTCTGGGAAATGACACAGCTGGGATGTTTGCAGTCCTTGGATTATACATATTTTAACCATCTTTCAGTGAAGAAAAATTGTGGACAGTGAACTTATAGTGTATTTTGTTCACTTAAGGTCATTTCTTAGGCTATAAAATATGTAATATATTCCTATGTCACTAAGATAGCTTAGTCTTTTCTAATAGAAACATTATTGCTTTAGCTCTCAAGCTTAGTTCTATTAACCCAGTATAAATGAATATTGCATAGGATGTGAGACCGCTGTTGAAGTTCATTGTCTCTGAATCAATAACTACTGGTTCAAGAGACTTACTTCCTCATTGACAATTTTATTAAAATCAATTGACTATATAAATGTGTGACTATTCTTGTAATCTTTAATATTGCATTGATCTGTTTGTCTACTTTATGAAATATGATACCAATGTTTACCAGTACCTGTATTTTCACCTTGATTTCCTCAGTCTATATGTTCTCCATTGAATGAAATCAGATTAATCATAGCAAAGTATAGTGTGAAGAACAGGTGGAATGTACTACAAGTTAATATGATGAACACTAACATATGAGAGTGGGCAGTAACCAGACAAGCGATTGAGGGGGAAGGCACTCTCGAAAAGAGACAATGAACAGAGGATATGGACCATTTTGCTGGCCTACATGTCTTGGTAAGCTATAGATTGTGTTTTAAAGATTTTAAAAAGGCAGCTGTGCTGAGGGACATTTTCTTGTTAAGTGACTGACCTGTTCAATTTGATTAATTCTCAAAGAGGGGAATAGTTATGTGTCTTTACTCTTTGCTAGTAAGACTTCCACTAGGTAGTAATCTTTTATTATTTCCAACAGTTCAGAAATCTTGTGTGCACTTTGACAAAGAAAAGAATTAAAGCTATGTTTTCCCACAAGCGAACTGCTTTCACTTAATAGACCCCCAACATAACCCTGCTAATTCCAAATCTAAATCTTAAGGAAGGGCAATTGTGATACTTTCCCTGTGTGACTAGGAACACAGTAGATGGACCCTAGAGCTGATTACGAAGAAGGGGTCCATCCACAATGACCTTCAAACCTACTAATTCCTATATAGCTACCTAGTACAACCATTGGAAACCCTTCACATGCAGACTAAATTTCTTCTTGGTTCAATTTAGACACTGAGAACTCCATTTAGAGACCATTTTTCTTGGGGCCTGCTGAGATCCTGTCGAGTAAACTATGCTTTGGCAATGGCATTGGTCTTCATCCAAAAACTCTCTGAAACTTACTGTTATATTTATTATGAGAATGCTAAATTCATCATACTATCTTCTCTTTATAAGAAGCATGGGAAGAGTGTTTCCCAATTTCAGTGCTGGAAAGAATGATTCATCTTCTCAGAAACCCAAACGCATTCATGTTACGGGCTATAGAATCCGACCAAAATCTCTTGCTGTGGAGTGGGAGATCATATAGCTAATTTTAAGGGTGAACTTGAAGAGACTTCAGGATGCCTACAGTTAATGAATCTTTCCAGGATGTGTCAGTGAGGATGTTTCAGAAGAGATCAACATTTAAGTTATCAAAGTAAGCAAAGTGCTCTGTGCTGTAAAATCTGAGTATGCAGCCCTCGGCCCATTGAAGGCCTGGATAGCACAGACGAGCAGAGGCAAGGACAAACTCATGCTCTGACTGAATCTTTAGTCTGTGAGTTACCTTCCCTAATTTCTATGTACTTCCGATTCCTGGGCCTTTAGGCTGAGATCACAATCCGCAGGCTTACAGACTGTGTCACTGATGTTCCTAAGGTCTTGCTTCCATTCCAAATAGTGTTTGATTTTTTTTCAACTTCTATAATTGTTTAAATCCATAAATTCAGATGTGTATGTTGTTTGATAGATGGGTGTAATGGCTGATGGTTGACAGACAGATGATTAAACACATACCTTGCATGTAACTTTATATAGCATTTTTCACTTAGCTCATGAAACATAGGTCCCTGGTATGCCCTGTGGTGGTGTTCAAAGTGTTTCAGACATTGGGGCATTACAAAATTCACTTTTTCAGAAGGAAATGAGATGTTGTATTAAATCAGTATCAATTCCTATGTATAATAACCCAGGGTCTAAATAAAGTGTTTCATTCAACATGTCCTTGGAGTAGGTTTCAGAGCTGAGAAGGACAGCATTTGTTTTGGGTTGTCTTTTATAGAATATCTATCTGGAATTATATATCTCCCCTCCTATTTCCTGTAAACTACGTAAGTATCAGAATGAGAGCTTAGCAGATTCTATTACATATCTGAATGATGAGCTCTTTTCTCCACACCTCTGTAACTCTGCCGTTGTACTTTCACATCTTCAGTGCACAGAAGTGGCCCTTTGAATATAAAATGGGAGGTGGCTCTGCTCTTTCACCAGAGAATCTGGGCAGAGCCACTGAGTTGAAGGCAACTGGTGGAGGCTTTAAGAGAATGAAACCTGTCTTTCTGGAATCAGAGGAAAAGGTACATAAAGGACCCTCACACTGTTCACACAGCCAGAGAGCACCAAGGAGGTCCTAATGTTCCTGCTGCTTCTAACTTTCACCTGCAGAAGGAGTGATGCAGAGTACAGTAAGCAACATTGTCCCTGTTTTGTTTTGTTATCTCCCACACCATGCAGCTACCACAATTCAAGAAAAAGACACCTGGCTCATTTCATGAAAACTCAGCTGGAGGCTGATTTCTAATGCCTGCCTCTTTCTCTTTCAGGCATGACTGCTTGTACTTTCTTGGGAAATGTATTGATTGTCTTCTGTGTTCCTGGCATTGCTCCATATTCTAGGGAAAACAATAAACAAGAATGGATGTAGAGAGAAAGTGCCTGATTCTAAAACAGTCGCAATTATCATCTGCCATACCCCTTCCTTTCAATTCTTTTACAAAATGTCTATCAGCTTGCTAGTCTGTGAGTGGCAATCAGTGCTCTGAAGTATCACATCAAAGGTTACCAAAGCAATCA